GAAAAACGTAGGAAATCTTAAAATATTGATTTGTCTTTCACTTGAATATTTTAAAAATCTGCAACTATTCGCCAACGAGACCCCTTCCCCTAACGGAACTAACGCATGCGCACTTCTATTTAGAGCTCAATTAACAGCTTTGTAGATTTCTTGCTACTCGCTGAAAACACATCTTCGCACGCTCCGGTCTTCACTACGTTCATCATTCGACCGACGGGAGCCGAGTGAACGAAGATGCTGAAAACAAGAGAAAATAGTTTGGACAAATATTATACTCGTTTCAAAATGTCAACGGAACGCCATTATTCAATAAAGATGAATGAGAATATAAAACTTTTTTTATCTTTCAATCTATCTTTATTTCAATTCAAAATATGTTTTACAGTGCAAATCTACATAATTGCATTAAAATGATGCATTTTAATTTCTTGTGTATCCTAACAATAGTTAACAAATATGATATACCACATTTCATTAAGCCATTCATTAAAATGTTTGTAGTCAATGTTTCGTATTTTATATCCAAAAATCAATGTTTTAATATCTGTTAAAACTATTGTGATTTTAAAATGATTAAAAATGTACTCTTCTAATTGTTTTAGCATTCTGTTTACTCTTTTACAATCTAAGAATAAATGTTGATAATTTTCAACTACGTTACATAAATCACAGTTTTCAGTTTGACTTATTTGCCATCTTTTAAGTAAGTGTAGCGAACCCGGGTTGATAATACAATGTCTGGAGACAAGTCTAGTCAAAAGTGTCCAAGTCCAAAATTATTTTAAGTGCAAATTTTTCCAAGTCCAAAAATTTATGAGTGAAAAATATTTTTGGGACTATTTTTGGAAATTATTGAAATTTTGGAAAATTATGAAAATTTAGAAAATTTGGGAAAAATTGGAAATTTTGGGAAAAATTGGAAATTTTGATAAATTATAAAATTTTGGAAAAATTAATGAAAATTTTGGAAAAATTGTGAAAACTGAAAATTTTGGAAAAATTGAAATTTTATGAAAAAGTTGAAAATTTGGGAAGTTTTGGTAAAAATTGAAAATTTATGAAAAAGTTGAAAATTTGGGAAGTTTTGGGAAAAATTTAAAATTTATGAAAAAGTTGAAAATTTGGGAAGTTTTTGAGAAATAGGGAAAAATTGGAAATTTGAGGTTTTATCGAAATTTCTTAAGTTTTGATGGACTTGATTTTCTAGTACTATCAATTAATGGTCAATGTTTTTACAGTTTTTTACCAACTTCACTTTAGCGGCACTTCGCTTTTACACTAATTGAACACGACAAAGTGATTTCTAAGAACGTATATACAAAACTACTTTATTTCTATAAAAATAACAACATTTTTAATACTGCGTAAAAAGTAAGCATCAAGTTTCTTTTCTTTCTCTGAGATTGCAACAATATAACTTAGTTTTAATGGATGGAATGTAATCTTCAACTCACTATTGCAATAATACTGTGACTACTTTTGTCAACTTTTGACAATATCAGAATACTATGTTGGCTCTGTATATAAATACTGTGACTTAATACAACCTAATCAACCTTATTACTGTACTTATACTGCGAAAGGTCTTGAATTTGAGTTTGCTCATAAAGGCGATAACTCTAGCACTTTGGTTATAAAATATAATATCTAATATAATATTTACAAGTATAAAAATATAAATCTTTGAATGAGCACGTGGTATGTAATGGCTATTGTATGGGAGAAATCGGGCGATTGCACGATTGAAGAAAGAATATTTTGTCCCACGACACAATTAAGGTAAGGAGACGCGGTTGTTAATAATGACGGCTAGTTAAAGCAAGCATTAGGTTTGACCAAAATGGGGGGGGGGGGGGTCACACCGGCTGGCTAAGGCAAGTGTGATGGTTTTTGGCAATTTTTGGCAAGTTTTACGGCAGAGGATAACCCACTTTAGGCAAGATTTATGGCATAAAATATGGTTAATAAGTAAAATATACAAGTAAACTCTAAATCTAATACATATATTGTGAGTTAAGACCAACAGGCTTTGAGTTTTGAGGTTTTAAAATCTTTCATAAGATTTGGAGTTTTGACAAGATGGCTACCTTGTCATGTTTAAGCCTTATGACCTACTTAGTTTTTTTTGGTCTTCTTTAAGAGAAAGTTTTTGTTTATAAGTTTATTTAAGCTTCACAAAATTATCATTAATGGTAAAGCTAACTTTTATTAAAGTTTCAGACTCTGATCTCACTTGAAAATACTAAAATTCCTAAGTTAAAAAATTCCAATTTCGAAAGCACATGAACAAAGGACAATGGCGAATTTCAAAATGGACAGCTTCTTCCCCAAATTATGTGACAAAGTTTTTGGCAGATATTTTCCGAAATACTTATCAGAAAGTTTTGCAAAATAGTTCAAAATTTTGCATTTAATTTAGGTCACAATAATTTTTATAGTCCCTTCAACAACAGGTACTATAAAGGGGGGATTGAGTTTTTTCAAATGAAGAAACTTTACTAAAGTTTTTAGAAATCAAACTTTCTGAAGGCAAAGTTTTGAACTCTGATTTTTCACATGAATCTGAATTTCAATGAAACATATTTACCTCACTCATGTTGCAAACGTATCTTCTCAACAGCGAAAGTTGTTTTCGATGATGGATGGCACGAAATAAGAATGATATTATGCGATTTAAATGCGGCTGGATTATCAGTCAGGCCTTCTTCTCCAAATTCAGTAATAGTAATAAAGTAGGTCAACCATGACACACCACATGTTTAAAATTTATGTAACTTTAAATTACAAATAAACTTGTTACCTGAACATGTAAAGACACATAAATATAACAAGGAAGCTGGTACTATGAATATACATGGATATTAATCTTTAAAACCCATAAATGTGAGTAAAAACACATATTTCTAATGTCTGCATGTAATTAATATGGGGCGTGTCATGTGACACTTCTGAAAATTATTCCTTGAGTTCTAAGTACAAAATAAATTGCACAATTACATATTAAATATACCATGAAATAGCTACAAACATGAGGCGGAACATACATACATATAAAATACATAAAAAGAACAAACTGTCATACCTGAAAATGTGTAAAAAATACAAAAATATTTTCCCTGGTTTTTTACACCATCCCCTCTTTTGAGGAAATGTCCGTCCCGGACATTATCACTTTAAAGCATATATAACACAATGTTCACTAAAATATATAAAGTCCTACTGCTGGCTCTTCAGATCTGAGATGCACTTTTCTTTGAGTAATCCACTGGTATGAGTTGTTGTCCATTTGGCATAAAATATGCCACAAGATCAATACGTTTGATGATTGGTTTGGCGATGAAGTCTTGAATATCATATTGCGTGGTATTGTCCTTGCTTCTCGAATGTGCTTGGGAGTAATTGTTTATTACTAATGTGTTAGTAGTTGTGGTTGTATAAAGTGTTGGTTTGGGTGCACTTAAAGTTGTTGATTTGTATGAGACATCTTTGGTTTTATCTTCCTTGTTTGTAGTCCATGGTTGGAGTTGAACGATCGCAGTACTTTCCTCTTGTGTGTCCTCTAAAGCATATAGTTCTGTAGGGGTATCACTCACATATCCACACTCTTTTATATAACACACCTATAGTGTATTCACTCATTGAATCAAGGCTATACCAGTGTATATCCCAATGATATACAACTCACTTCAAATAAAGGAATTTCTGCATTTCGGGATATGAAAATCACATATAGGTATGGTACATATTGGTTATTATCCTACACTTAGTCTACTAAATGTATAATAACATTAAAAAATAAATTTGATATTTATTGGCAAAATGAATATCCGGAGGAGATTAAAATGATATTCTGAAAAAAATCATAGGATGTTCTTATTATCCTACACTTACAAGGAGTGTACTGAATGTATAATATTCAATTAAAAAATTGAAATTGGTCAATTTTCGTGGACTTAAATGTTCAGGTTGTGGCTGACAGAAAACTGACAATACAGTTGCTTTGTGATTGTAATTTCTTTCTATCTAATCCCAATGTAAACAATTATGTATCTTTTGCATTTTTCTAGGAAATCACCACTGTAGGCAAAGAATTGGGAATTTCTCCTAAAATCGTACAAGGGGAAGACCTTGACAAGCAAGGATTTGGAGGTAAATGTTGTGAAATGAAATAGCATAATCAGCAGTCACAAATTGTAAACATGCACAAACAAGAAAAAACTGTGTTATTCTCAACATATCATACAACAAAATGTGTATGACGTGTTCTTGGTGAATATTGGTGGTAGTATCCCTTTAGTTTGATCCTTTGAAAGAATATGAGTATTTGGCTCTTACAGAAACATCCACCATGCTATGCATGTCCCTTGTATTAGTTCATCATCACATCGGAATGATTTGTATGTATTTTTCCACTAGGACTGTATGGGGTCGGAAAGTGTGCCGTCCACAAGCCAGCACTTGCTGTCCTTAGCCATACACCAGAGGGCGCTAGTAGGACTATAGCATGGGTCGGAAAAGGCATCGTCTATGACACAGGCGGTCTCTCCATCAAAGGCAAAGTAAGCATACTAAATACCATCTTCTAGCAGATAACCAAAACCTGTATGTCTTAAATAGTACAATGGTTTCCCTTTTACAATACTGCATCCAATAGTAATCAGTTATGTTATATCAGATTGTGTCAATTCCAATGTGTTATTTAGTGTAAAACTAGATGCCAATGTTTCATTTCCACATTGAATTCAATGTCTTTTATTCTATTATTGTAATTGTTTTTGTGATGTATTGTACGAATACATACACTATATTCTAATATTTACTGTATACTGCTTTGTATTGTATACTTTTGTGGATTTCATATTGTAAACTATTGTGTATTGAATACTTTGATGTAATTTACACTATAGTCTATTCATTATAAACTATTGTTTATTGTGTACTATGCTGAATTGACTACAGTCTTATATTTTTAACTATTGTGTATTGTACACTTATTGTAGACTGCCATGCCTGGGATGAAGAGGGACTGTGGTGGAGCAGCAGCAATACTAGGAGCTTTCTACTCAGCAGTTAAACAGGTAAGCCCAGGGACATGGGATACTGTAGATTGGTACTAATAAATTTGGCGATTTTGTGATTTTTGGCATATTGGTGGCTATTTGATTTGGCAGACACTAAGTTCTGGTTTTACAGACCAAATCCATGCTGTGTACTATTATTTCAGGGTTTTACAGAGAACCTTCATACAGTGTACTGTTATTTTAGGGTTTTACAGAGAACCTCCATACAGTGTACTTTTATTTCAGGGATTTACAGACAATCTCCACGCAGTGTACTTTTATTTCAGGGGTTTACAGACAATCTCCACACTGTGTACTATTATTTCAGGGTTTTACAGACAATCTCCACACTGTGTACTTTATTTCAGGGTTTTACAGACAATCTCCACGCAGTGTTTTGTCTGGCAGAAAATGCAGTTGGTTCGGTCGCAACAAGACCTGATGACATTCTAAAGCTATACTCTGGGAGGTAAGTCTCACAGCTCTATAAAAAATATTTCACAATGATTGACTGGAAATAGTATTATTGGGCATGAAATCATAAAATAATATAACAATTGAACTTGGGTATGCAACTTCAGGTAGGTAAAAACAGCAGAAACATGTGACCACTTGATTGTTAAGATTTTTGATCAATATTTGTATGAAATTAAAATTTGAAATTAGGAAGTAAAAGGCATTAACAGCACAAAACGTCACCACCTGCTTGCAATTGCAAGCTAAGCCATTAATACAGACAATGGTGCTTAATATCTACACCAGTCATTAAAAAATGGTGACTTTTAATATCGCATCACTTCTTGGTGTTGAAATTAAAAGTTTATTTGTAATAATTTTCAGGACAGTTGAGGTAAATAACACTGATGCTGAAGGCAGGCTTGTGTTGGGGGATGGTGTGGCATATGCTGACAAAGACTTGAAGGCAGATGTCATACTAGATATGGCCACCTTAACTGGTGCTCAGGGTATAGCAACAGGTAAGATATTCTGAAAATGCAGTGGCCATATTTATTATTAAACATATTTTATTCCTCTATATATTACATTACATACATTTTATTGATACAGTTTAACGAAACGGATTGGACAAAAGGCTTTCGCCTATTCTTAAGTCCTCTCCCTAAGTTGTCCCAGAAAATTGTTACAGTTTTATTTATTTGTGCAGGATGGGAGGCTTGGCCATATAGAGTAGGACAAACAATTTCAGTTAGTGTTAGCTTATATCCAGTAGAATTTTAGGGAGATAAGTTGGTAGGATATATCCTGTATCCTGATTTTGAGGTTTCCATATCCAGAGCCTCTATATCTCCCGCCATATCTCCTGGTTCGGGGCATATCTTCTCACTTCCAATAACTGAAAAAATGAAGAAAAAAAATTGAATTTTTTTTAGAAATTTCTACTTTGTTTAGGATATTTAAGCAGTGATGTACAGTCAGTTTGGAAATGGGGTTTGTCCTTTGGGAGATTTGCATATCTCCCTCTGGATAAACCCCATACCCAAAACCTCCCAGTATGTAACCTTAATATATCTGAGATTGTTTGCCTTATCCTATGTTGCTCTTGAAGAAAAGAGTTGAGCGCTAGATTAAAATTATCAATACTCAATAAAGTAATTGTGATGTAATTCAGTTTAAAGCACAATTACTTTTTCCATTATGCCCCAAAATGATAGCTAATCCCTGTTTTACCAACTGCATTGTTTTTCAGTTTAAAAACCCCAAAATTGTCCCTCTAGAAAACTCAAAATATATTTTTTCGTACTTTTGACTCCTTTAGATATTATCTACCACACAAAAAATATTCTTGATTAAGGAAAACCATATTAGTGCCATGCATCTGTGATATATCTTAGTAAATGCCATGCATCTGTGATGTTTTGGTAAATGCCCCTGTATATGTGGTATGTCTTGGTAAATGTCAAGCATATTTGATATGTCTTGGTAAATGTCAAGCATATTTGATATGTCTTAATAAATGTCAGGCATATTTGATATGTCTTGGTAAATGTCATGCATCTTTGATATGTCTTGGTAAATGCCATGCATCTGTGATGTTTTGGTAAATGCCCCTGTATATGTGGTATGTCTTGGTAAATGTCAAGCATATTTGATATGTCTTGGTAAATGTCAAGCATATTTGATATGTCTTAATAAATGTCAGGCATATTTGATATGTCTTGGTAAATGTCATGCATCTTTGATATGTCTTGGTAAATGTCATGCACTGTGCTATGTCTTGCTAAATACCATGCATCTGTGATATTTCTAGGTAAATACCATGCGTCTGTGATATTTCTAGGTAAATACCATGCATCTGTGATAACTAACAATGAGAACTGGGAGCCTGGGTGTGTCAAGGCAGGCCAGAACTCTGGAGACCTGTGCCATCCCATGATTTACTGTCCAGAGGTCCATTTTGCAGAGTTCTCCAGTGCAGTAGCTGATATGAAAAATTCCGTCGCTGTATGTTTTAAAGTTTCATTATTTTTCATTTGCATATTATTCGTTCTTGTACAATGAATTGTATCGTCTTGTGTCATATTTTTTTTGAAGTTGATTCATTCATTTGAAGTAAAATGTTGCAGATTTTTGAAAGTGTACTAGTCTAAAGGATTTCAGCCCATGAATTGTAGGATGATTGAACAACATTTGTGTTGTTTCCAGACTTTGAATGAGTGTGACAGCATGAATTCAAAGTCTAGGAAACAACACATGAGTGGATTAAATCATCCATAATTCATTGAGTCATGGGCTTAAATTCTTTTCCCAAATTGCAAAAGATTCTGGACAGTACCTATCGATTGAAATGTTAAGCAGCGTCGCTGTTACAATGTAATTAGGAAAGCAGGGGAACTCTAACTTGTCTGCTTTTAACATTTGCCTTTTTGTTTCTTTCATTTTGCCAAACACATTTATGGGCTTAGATCTATTTTTTCATTGTCTCAAAGTAGACCAAAAACAGCATATAAGCTGATAAACTTGGCATGAGTAACTTGACAACCGGATCTAGAGTACAGATTAGAAATACTGATTATTCATGAACATACTGGATTACAATGAATATGTTTCTATGTTTTAGGATAGAAGTAATGCCCAAGTGTCCTGTGCAGGGATGTTCATAGCAGCACATTTAGGATTTGACTTTCCAGGGACTTGGATTCATGTAGATATGGCATACCCTGTACACAGTGTAAGTAATTAGGGGGAGGGCAGTAGAGAAGAGAGTGTAAAATTTTTAATAATTTTTTAAACATTAACTTATCCCCTCTGATCTCAACTGAAAAAATCTGAAAAAAGGTTTCAGGTGTGGAAATAAATATATTGTTTGAAATTGAAAAGTAAATGATTTTAAGAGAAATACCTAATTCTTTGCCTACCATGGTGAATTATTGCCCCAAAAGCCTAAATCTTGACATGTTCTTGAAATGAAGTCAGAACTTTTGGTCTTTTCTAAATAGATATGACAGGAGCTGCAACCAAAAAATTGTAAAATGGTGTCATTTTTTTTTATTTATTAATGTGCCCTAAACTGCTTTACTTTTTAACTTAATTTCCTGGCACAAACTGTCATGCATTCTATTGAAATACATTTCATAATGATCGTCCCCCCATCCACCACCAATCCTAAATAGCAGACGCACATATGTTATACATCATATGAAAGCTTAATTGTTCAATTCTGGACTCATTGAAACAACTTTGATTAAGCTCAACAGTTTTTACAACTTGCTACATATTTCTACAAAGGGTTCCCATTTTACCTTTAGCATAGAATCTGAAAGCCACATTTTCCAAAATTGGCCATTTGTCCTGCAAAAAGATATGATAACCATGCCTCAATTCACTAATATATATAGTAATGTTCACTTCTAACATTTGATGGATGCTGAGGATATATCTTAATATTATTTGAAAGACAAAAGTATTAAATATTTCAAAGAAATGACCAGAGAGCACTAGATGATACAATGGATTATATGGCATTCTACTCCTCTCTTTAAATCCATCAGGAATAGTAGACATAAAACTGAATTGAATAAGCTTTATTACGATATATAGATTATGGGAACATGTGATCTAGTATTGCCTGTGGATGGGGGGACGGTCATTATGAAACACCCTGTATATGGTCTTGCTATCATGTTACATCATACATACAAATATCATATCATGCAAAACAGGTTAATATACACATGATGTTTCTCTTAGTAATACTTCAAAGTGACAAAGAATGACTTTATTTGGTAGGCTCTCATGGTGTAAAAGCCATTTTCTTTAAATGACACAAAAATGGGAGCCAGAACTAAACGAGAAAATAACCTCCATGGGCCCATAAATTATTAGGATCAGACCAATGTGTTTTCATTTGTCTTACTGTTTTGATGAAAGGACAGATGGATAGAGAAATGTAGAAATATAAAAGTCTATGAAAATTTCATTTCATCTAGTATTTGTTCAACACCCATAATAATTCACAGACTTTCTCTTTTCAGGGTGAAAGAGCAACTGGTTATGGAGTCGCTCTTTTGTTGTCCTTATTTGGTCAAAGCTCACAATCGGCACTTTTGCAGTCTGTAGCACCATCTATAAAAGGGACTGATGTAGCGGAAAATATTGGCCAAAATGCCAGTAAGAAAATGCGTGTAGAATAAAAGAATACTAATAACTATTTAGTGTAACTAATTGATTAAGACAGAAAGCACAATTTGGTGATATTTAAATAATCACTGTGAAAGCACAATTTGTTTAAGTGGTCTTTAAAGAAAATATTGCCAAACAACTACAATTGCATTTAATGCATCACATAGAATAATTATTCGACAAATTATCTCTGTATATGCAGAAATATGATGGAGAATTTCTCCATGGGAACAACCCTGGGGGTCATTAACAGAAACTTCGTAAAGTTACAATTTGTAAATCAATTGAAACCATGGATATAATGACATCACAGTTAGAGAACAATGGAATTTACGAATTCTTAACTTTACAAAGTTTCTGTTAAAGCCTCCCTGAATAATGGGGTCAAATCAATGATAAACCTGAACCTGATATTATTTGATTCCGAAGTAAATGTTTGTAGATCATGTAGAAATGCATTGTAAAGTCTACAGTATTCACTGTACACTTCAACAGATTTATATGAAACTAAATGGAGTAATGTAGTAGAGTAACAGTGGTCTTTGACAGTGATTGATACAATAAATATGAAATGTAACAATAACACTTAATTGTATTGTTTGTGTATGAACTAATAGCACAGTTTATATTGGCTATTAAGTGTATGGTGCGACCATCACATATTATCTTAAACTTAAACTTATTATCTTAAAAATATCTCCAGTAAA